CCCAATGTCCCATTGATTCAGGCCTAGAGGGGCCGAGAACTTGGCTGGTTTGCACAGCATGCTCTGGGCCAGAGGAGCCCTGGGCTCCAGTGGGGGGAGGCACTTCTGAGGTCTGTAGGCCTGAGCCTGGCTGGGCCCCCTGGTCTGAAAGCTGGGGAATGCCCTGAGGCCCTGTGCCCGCCTGCCCGCAGTCTGCCTGGACGACTCCTTCGGCCACGACTGCAGCCTGACTTGTGAGGACTGCAGCAACGGGGGGACCTGCCTGCCCGGCCTTGATGGCTGTGACTGCCCCGAGGGCTGGACCGGACTTATCTGCAACCAGAGTGAGGCTGCGCGGTTGGGGGAGAGGGGAGCACGGCGGACAGGGAGCCCCAGCCCCACTCACACTCCCTCTCTCCTCTTACCCGCCCTGGGCGGGCTCCACATCCTGTGCCCCCACACGCGCGCCCCCATTGGGTCACACATTCCTTCCTCGTGCCTGTGAGCATTCACGCACGCTCACACACCCACTCCTGTCTTCTGTTCCCTCTCACATACTCATTCATGCACTCTCTTGTCCCCGCCTTCCTTCACTCCATCCCTGTGCATTCGTTCACGCATTCCAAATTGTCACCTTTGACAGCTGGGGCGTTAGTCCCGCTGCTCTCTGCGAGCTCGGCTTTAAGCCAACAGCTAAGGCCAGGCTGGGGTGTGGGGCGAGTTAGGAGCACAGGGGGATCAGGACACCTGATCTGAGGAGTGTCCCTGGCAGGACCTTCTCTGGCTCAGGCCATCGCACCCACGTCCTAGTGGCTCATAGCTCCCCTGAAGCCTGCTCCCAGCCACCCCCACCCTCCCCCCCCACCCCACCCCACGAACACTTGATAAGTTATAGATTATTTTTTACATATCTTACATCATCCTCCATCGCTTCTCACCCACTTTTCCCCCCACCCCACCCCCACCATCTAGAGGCTTTTCCACACCCTACCCCACCTTCCCAGACCAGGCATGGGGTTTGTTGTGAAGGGCAGGCATTTTTCGTAAGCCTCTTCCTGTTTGAGCATGCTGACCAAACGAGACCCGTGCAGAGTTCAGCTCGCAGGGAGATGACACAGTGATTGATTAGTGATGTCTGCCCCGGGCAAGGGCCAGGAGGATGGGACACCAGGGCCTCCATCTGTTGCTCTGGACAGAAGCTTCTGAATGAGGTTTAAGCCTCTCTGCTGCCGGTGACCCTGGTTCTTCATGTCCCCTGTAGCGTGTCCTCCAGACACCTTTGGGAAGAACTGCAGCTCCTCCTGTGGCTGTCAGAACGGCGGGACCTGTGACCCCATGACAGGGGCCTGCCGCTGTCCCCCAGGTGTCAGTGGAACCCACTGTGAGGATGGTGCGTGGGCCCCTGGAGCGGGGGTGGCATGGGGAGGGGCCCATTCACTTGCTGGTTTGCCCGCTCTCTCCCAAGTCTCCTTCCTTCCACACAGAGGGCAAGGCCAGAGGGCCTGGGTTTCAGGACAGGAAGGACCCGGGAAATGGAGGGCACATGATGAAGAGGCTGGACTCTCTCTCCCCTCCTACCCATCACCCACCATCTCTGGGTGGCCAAGTGGGGTCCCCATGCCATCCTCCCCCTTGTCTGCCCACCCCCAGGCTGCCCCAAGGGTTTCTATGGCAAGCAGTGTCGAAAGAAGTGCCATTGTGCCAACCGAGGCCGGTGCCACCGCGTCTATGGGGCCTGCCTCTGCGACCCAGGGCTCTATGGCCGCCTGTGCCACCTGGGTGAGTCCCCAGCTTGGAGGGGAGCCCAGGCAGGGGCAGAGGGGGTGGGGTTGGACTGTTGACCACGTTGTGGAGGAGTTTATTTGGCGCTCAGAGAGCTGGCCCTGCTAGGATGGGGGAGGGAGACTGGGGTCCACTCAGGCTGCCCTCTTGACCCAGCTGGCCTCCAGGGCATTGTGCTGGGAGACTCCCAGCCACAGAATGCAGTGTGGTTGTAGGGCAGGGGCAACCCCCAGGCTTGGGTCTGAGGGTCAGGGGTGCTGAGGAGTGGGCAGGGGTGAGTGTGATAAAGCCACTACGGGAGGTGGTGGGGTGGCGGGTCAGAGAGCCTCAGGGTAGCATCGCTATATGATGTTTGTCACACGGGGTTCTTGGGGGGATGTGAGATGCGCAGGTAGGTGGTGGGACCTGGGGCAGGTCCCTGGACTTCCTGGGGCCTTGTTTGTGTGTAAGGGGAGGACATTCTGCACAGGCCCCCGGGTCCCAGAGAGCACCTGGTTAATACATGCACACAGGCTGCGTGGACTGGCCAGCTGGTGCTGGGCTCTGGAGCTGGACGCACGGGGCCGGGGGCGCTGTGGATGCGTCTGGGAGCTTTCTGTTTGCCTGTGGTGTCTCTGGCTGCAGCCTGTCCCCCGTGGGCCTTTGGACCGGGCTGCTCTGAAGAGTGCCGCTGTGAGCAACAGAACACGCGGGCGTGCGACCGCAGGGACGGCAGCTGCGTGTGCAAGCCCGGCTTCCAGGGGGAGCACTGCCAGCACGGTGAGGGGGCGCAGGTGTGGGGGGGAGGCATCCCAGGGCCACTGACCCCTCCTCTCTGTATCCTGGGGGCCGCTGACCCTCCCTCCGCCTCTGTATCCCAGAGTGCCCACCAGGCTTCTTCGGCCTGGGGTGCCGGCAGGAATGCACCTGCCCTCCAGGTGTGGCCTGTGACCCTTCGAGCGGCGAGTGCCAGAAGCAGTGTCCTGCCGGCTTTCAGGGCAAGGACTGTGATCAAGGTGAGCGGCTAACTCAGGGCCCCCCGTGATCTGGGGTGGCCAGGGTGCAGGTGACTGCAGAGGTGCTGCAGGGCCAGTTGCGGGGTGGGGGTGGGCAGCGCCCTTACCTGCCTGACTCACTGTGCCAGGAAACTTAGCTGGTCTCTCTGTCCAGATGCTCTGAAAGGGACCTCCAGAATGAATCACTCACTTATTCACTTCCTCCTACTCTCATTCATTCATACCGTCAATCACTCATGTACTCACTCAGTCATTTGTTCCTTCCTTCATTCATACCTTCACTCACTCATTTACTCAGTCATTCCCTCCTTCATTCATTTATACCTTCACTCATTTACTACTCATTCACTCCCTCCTTCATTCATACCTTCATTCATTCATTCCCTTCCTCCTTCATTCTTATCTTCACTCACTCATTTACTCACTCATTCACTCCTTCATTCATTCATACTTTCACTCCCTCCTTCCCTCATTTATTCAAACCTTCGGTCACTCACTCAATTCACTCCCTCATTTACTCATTCCATCATTGGTTCTTTCATTCATTTACCCTTTTGCTCACTTATTCATTCACTGGCTCCACTGCCCCCTGTTCTCCCCGCCCCCAGTGCACCACCCCTCCCAGCACCCTTGTGTTCCATGTAGGCCTGCAGGAGCTCTACTTGGGCAGTAAGAGCAGGCTGGCGAATGGCTCCGGGGGGGTGGGGGGTGGCCTGGGGGTGAGTGATGGGCACAGAGGGACAGTTGAGGTTGAGGCCTGGGTCCCGCGTCCATGGTGGGAGAGGGGGTGGCCATGGAGTGCAGCAGCACACTTAGCCCCAGGGACCCCCAAGGGAACACACCCTCCACTCAACAGCACCCCAAGCCCAGGAGCTGCTCAGCCAGCATGAAGAGGGCCATGGGAGGGAGGGAACCCGGGCTTCCCCAAGTCTGACGGGGGTGCGGGGGTGCTGGATGAGTAGGAGGGACAGAGAGGTGTCCCAGCTGCAGCTGGTGACTAACGGGGCCTCTCCG